TACTGGACTTCAACAACTCATTTTTAAAACGAATGTAACATATTCCATTAAAAAGTTCACATTGATTACATGTTACAATGACATTTTTGATATAATGGGTTAAATAAATTATATTGCTAAAATTAATGCCATCCATTTTTGTTTTGTTTTTTGAGATGGAGTCTCACTCTGTCACCCAGGCTGCAGTGCAGTACCTCAATCTCGGCTCGCTGCAGCCTCCACCTAGCAGGTTCAAACCATTCTTGTGCCTCAGCCTCCCAAGTGGCTGGGACTACAGGCATGTGCCACCGTGTCTGGCTAATTTTTGTATTTTTAGTAGAGATGGGGTTTCATCATTTTGGCCAGGCTGGTCTCGAATTCCTGAACTCAAGTGATTGACCCACCTCAGCCTCCCAAAGTGTGTGAGACACCATGCCTGGCGGGTCATTGGTTTTTAAAAAATGTTTCTTAATGTGGCCATTAGAGTTTAAAATTGTCTATGAGGCTTGCATTATATTTCTTTTGGGCAGTTTTATAAAGATAAAATTATAGAGCTACTAAATTAGAAAGAAGTAATATGTTTCTATATTTTCTTTATCTGCATAGAATGAGCCCCTGTTCTTCCTTTATGAGCCAACCGGTTTCTGTTGACCTTTACTGGCAGTTAATACCTTGCTATCGGCACACACTGATCCTTGTGACCAACCATCCATCACTAGGGTCATAATAATGATAACTGCAGCCAACTTTAGCCAGCTTCTGTGACTGCCCAATAAAACTTAGTTGCAGATTAATCCTCAGACAGCAAACAACCAACAGGGAAGAAACAAACTCTTATTTTTTAAATTCCTTTGCCAGAGATACTTGATATCAAATTGGAGAAAGTTGCAATGGCAAATAAAATAAAAATAAACAGGAGAAAAATTGCATATGGCAAATACCACCAGTAGGCAATCCTGTACACATTTTCTCCTTCCTCTGTGCTAATAAAAGCCCCAGTTTTGTTTAAGGCCACAATGTACCTAGTTCAAAAAAACAAACGACGTTAGAAGAGGTGGCCGTATGGCACAGCTTCAGCCAATGAAATACAGACAAAAGTGTCATCTTACCTGTTTAGTACAGGTAAGATGAAAGGCTATCTTGACTTTTAGAAAGGCTTTTAGAAAGACTATCTTGATTTTTAAAAGGATGGGTGGGGACAAACTCAATAGATGCACACATTTTTTTCTTTTTTTTTTTTTTTACCTTCTGTCTTTTCTATCTGGAACAGGGACACAATACTTCAAGGTGGAACAACAAGCTTGAGACCTGAGGGTATATGTCACGCACGGCGAGTGGGCCGGGAAGCCAGAAGGAGCTGGGCACCCAGTGATTTCCTTGGCCAGCGGCTCTGGCCCTGGGTCCATCTACCTCTCGACTTCTTATTACAAGAGCCAAATAAACCCTACTTGTTTAAGTCACTCTCTTTGGGTTTACCCAGCTAAACACAACCCCAGCTGAAACTTGCAGTCCAGAAAATGCTAATGTTCACAATCTGGTCCTAAAATCTGCTGTCCTAAGGACATTTTCACTTCCACGAAAATTTGTCACTATTGGCCTAAAGCAAATAGTTATTTTGGCTCATGCAATGAGAATAAGCATGAATTATTTGGCCTTGGCTTCTTATGATCCAGCATATATAATAGTTATCACTTTAAAAGATACATACCATATATCTATACATCGATTTAAGTATATAGATACAAATATATATTTCCAAGAAGGCAAGGGCTTTATCTGTCTTATTCAACATTTTATTCCCAGGCCCTAACAAAGGCCAAGTCCCCTTCTCCTTTTAAAGCTGACTTCTCTTCCCAGTGATATTCACAACATATGTTGCTACCATTCGGAGGTGGCAACATGGAAGACATCCTAGGCTAAGTTATGGGTGACCTAGATCTAATCCTGGCTCTGCCAAATAAACAGTTCTGGGACATCGAAACATTTCTTCAAATAAAAACTCATGCTGAAGTTCAATGTACTAAGCAGGTAAGATTGAAGAGAGAAAACCCACAGCCCCTTCTACTAGGTCATAGGATAATAAGAAATCCCCAAGAAATGTAATAGTATTACAGACAAATTTAAAGTAAACTTCTAACTCAGTTACATAGATTTGAAGGAATGTTGCCATGTTCATGTATATAAAATGTGACTTGGCATGCGATCAGAAATCAGTGCACACAGGCCTTTGGAAATGACCTGTATTTGGGAATTATATAACCAAGTGTTTTAGCACATAGGCTTTGGATGACCTAGGACCAGTTAACTATCCCATTAATGGAATTGATACTCCCAAAAAACACAATCCTGAATGCCATAATTAAAGTGTTGAATTCTCAAAGATCAAAATTCCCAGAATATAATTCTGGAAAAAAATAATTTAAAAGACATTTATTTATATTTATAAAAGGAGATTTATTTTATTTACCTGTTTTCTGTCATATGAAAACATGACAGGACATTTCACAGGCCACTTTACACAATAAAATAGGCAATAGTAACATTTGCATTTTTAAAAGAATAAACACATGGGTATACCAACAACAGTCACATGAGTATAATGTTATGAGCAGATGAAGCATATTCATAAATAAGTCAAAATTCAAAATGTATAAATACACAACACTATGATGGTAATTGTGGACACTTTATAACTGTAGACATCTGAAATACCATGACAGATAATCTAAGTCTTTTCGTAAGACTGATCAAAAACTTCAGTGAGTCACCACGGCATATGCAATTGCCCAAAAAGCTGAGATCTTGAGAAATTTTATGTTTCAGAAATGCAGATATACAAAAAAGACATATCTTCATTTATTGGGAAAGTTTCAACATTTTTACATACACAATGCTTTTACACAAAGTCAATGTTGTGATGATGCACTTTTGTGGAGTCAAATATGCAAAAAGTGCATGAAATAAATTAGAATTTTCTAAAAGTCTTTATATAATTTATACTGCAATATTGCAAATGATGTGATGATGAAATACATAGTATAGCAAATTGTGAAAAATAATAATAACAATGCTGGCTATTTAAAATAGTGGGGAAAAACTAGAAAGAAAATTCAACCTTTGAAAAAGTGTATTACAGGGCTACATTATGAATAATTGCATGGAGGTAGTCCATTAGAGCTGGCCAACTTTCACATTCATATTTTGAAGTCTTGCATGGCAATGAATTCCTAGTTTTCTTCTTTTAAGACATGGGTTTCCTCAGAGAATATGTTCATATTTCATTCATTTTTGACATAGCACTGCTCTTTTTGAAATTCTTCTATGATTCAATATACACCAACATAAGCATTCCCTGTTAAATATTTCCATCTTTGCATAATTTTTCTGTGGTGTTTTGGGTACACAGAAATTCATTCCACATGCACTCATATGCAGAAGCAATACTGATAATCAAATAGTCACATTATTGTGTGTCTTATTATCTTACTATGTGCATAATTATATTTGAACCAGTTGGTAACTTTGCTGGATTCTTCAGGCAAATGTGGCTTTAATTCATTAAAATCCTCTAAAATGTCATTAGCTGAGAGGAATGCCAATGCAAACAAATGACGTATTTTTAAACCATATGGGGTGGCCAATTCACTTGTCTGAATTTTCACCAAATGCGTTGGGCTGAATGACAAAAACAAATTTTACTGATGAGACCTTGAGATTCACGTTTAGAAGCCTTGATGGGAACTAATTCCAAATCTGTTATGGTTTGGGGATTCTACTGAAATCCATTTTCTTCCGCAAAGTCCACCAAATCTTCAAATAAGTGTTTATAAAGTGCTTTACTTTTTCCAGTCATTAACATATAAACAAGCATAAGTTCAAAAATATTTGGATCCAGCTAGGGCATGAATTGTATATAGTTGATAAGAAATATGGGGACTATTTTGAAAGTACCATTCTTCAGCCAAAGTAAAGCATGCAGTAGTTTGTCTATGTTAGATTTAGTGGCAAATATAGGAAGTCTATCTTCTTTGACAGTCAAATCCCTAACTAAGAATATTTCATCATTCAGTGAGTTTCAGAACACTGGAGGAACCTCTATATCAGCAAGCGTCTTTGGTTCAGAAGGTTGCTCAGTTTGTGGAATTCTTTTTATTCTCTGATGAAGAGTGTTTTGGGAAGGCAAGCATGGCACTATGTGTGAAGGGGCAAAAGTCATACATGATTGAATCATTTGGCAGGGGACTTTTTTTTTTTTTATTTTCCACCTGTGTTTTTACTTCTGTGATTTTCAAAACACTCAGAACATTGAGGATAGATCCTTCTTGCATAGTGCACTCAGACTCACCCACTAATCTCCTCCGGAAATACCCTCACAGATACACTGTTTCACCAGGTTCTAGGTAATCCTTAATGCAGTCAAGGGATTTTAGACTTTAGGAATTTCAATGTTTGGGATTATGTCTCTTGGGTTATGATTGGTGCTATTGATGAACTACTTTCCCTGTCTATAAAATTAGAATAATTTTGTTAGACAATATGAAAATGCACAATGTGAATCTCCAAGGGAGAGACAATATAGGCAAGGTTTTCTAAGTGTATTTGATCGTAGAACTCTTTTGTGGTAGCCTATTCTGACTGCTATTCCAGGACTCACACCTTGGAAAACCTCTATCACAGTCACTGTTGCATCTTTACAGTTATAAAAACTTAATTTTTTTCTAGATTAAAGTAGAATTTTAATAAGGGGTATATAAAGACGTCAGTCTGGGAAGAAGTCTTCTAATATCTTCTTTCATGAATCCCCCTAACTACCACCAATTGGCTTAAAGCATGAAAAGTACATCTGCTTCTCAGATGAGACATACACCAAATTCTAACCATGGCAAGTATTTAAAGTCCTATCAAACTTCTCAAAGGGCAAAAATTAAAGGAGGAGAAGTGAGGATTCTAGTTCTGGTTCCTGGCTCCTCCAGCTCATTCTTGTAATGCCCCCGGTGCTTTCTTTTCCTTTTTCTGATCAGGAGTCATCCTTTTCTTCCTCTCATTTCAAACACCCAGAGAGGTCAGCTAGAAGATAGACTGAACAACCAGGAGCGTACTATAGCTTTCCTCCTTGAACAAGCCTTCCGCATCAAGGAGGACATCTCTGCTTGTCTACAGGGGGCCCATGGCTTTCGGAAAGAAGAATCGCTCGCCAGGAAGTTACTGGAAAGCCACATCCAGACCATCACCAGCATCGTCAAAAAACTTAGCCAAAACATTGAGGTAGTTCTCTGTTTTTATTTATTTATTTATTTATTGTATTTTGGTAGCATTGCTTGATAAAGATTATTAACCATCAGTGTCATTTTTCAAGTGCAGAAACATCACTATTGCTTAACTTTAGATAATTACCTTTCAGTGGCCTGAGGGAAACAGTTCAATTTTTTAGTTGCTCATATATACCAAAAAGTAGAAGGAACATCTATTCAAGAAATATTTACTGTATATTTATTTTGTGACAACAAAGCCATTATGTCAGACATTGTGCTAAGGTGCTTATGTTAGCATAAATCTCCAAGATATTATTAATGTAATAATTTCAAATAGGGATTTTCATGATGCACATTGGTAATGTTCCATTGAATAGCCAGCACAATCTGATGCCAGCAATTTCTCTGGCCCCATCTTCTACCCTTCTTTCCTTCACTCTGGCCACACTGACCTCCCAGCTTTTCCGAGGGCATTCCAAACACGCTCTGGACTTGGGGCCTTTGCACTCATAATTCACTCTAGCTGGATCATCTTCCCCTAGATATTCCTATGCAATGTCCTTCATTCCTACAGTTCTCTGTTCAAATACTACCTTATGAGAGGATTTGCTTGACATTTTATAAAATAGCACCTCTCCCCACATGGTTTCAGTCTACCTTAAAGTCTACTTTATTTTTTGTCACATAGCACTCATTGCAAACTACCGTGGTCTATATTTAATTTGTTTGTTTTCTCTTTCTAAGATATAATCTCTATAAAGGCAAAGAGTTTATCTTTTTCATGCTAAATCCCATATCCCAGACCAGACAACAGTGCTAATGTAGCCAGTACGCTAAATATTTCTTAAATAGATGAGTGAATAAATGATTTTAAGACATTAAAGTAAAAATAGAGTTTCTCATCAAAAAAGAAAATTCTTTGTCTAAATCAAGATAAGCATGCTTGTATAACAGGTCTTTCAGAGTTGTTAAGGTGCGAATGTATGTGATTAATCTGAGTTAACAACTTTCATGCAAGGGTTTCAGAGAATATACTTTAGGAAACTGACCCAAAACTTGCATGGTTATCATGAGAATTGACCACACTGCCCTCTCACAATACTTGTCTCTTTTTTGCTATCAGAGAGAATACTGGATTTGACTAAAATTATTAATTTATTTTCCAACTGCAGGGTTTAGCAGACCCGATTATACATCTGAGGCAGTGTAAAAAGTTAAAAAACTCTCAGTGAACTTTTAAAAGGCACTTTATTGGTATTTAGCACATTTTGAATTGACCCCAATGCCTCAAAGGTCAATGCCACTCAAAAAGTGATTAGAAGTATTTCCATGCGTAATGAAGTATCATGAAAGTGACAAGAGGCAAGAAGCCCTGTGCCTTTTGAAATAACTAGAAAATCAAGTAAGTATAGCATAGTGCTAAAATAAGATTCCAATTTAGGAGTTGAAACTTCCTGGTAATTGAAAAAGCCAACAACATTCTTAGAAACATCCAACAGTTTCTAAGAATATTCTATATTTTGATCTGGATTGTTATATAGTTGATTACACTACATTGGGTCAAGATCCGCCCAGATGTACACTTTGACTTGTTCATTCAATACGTGTTAATATACCCCAGTAAAACACTATTAGCAATAAGAAGAAAGTCTCCAAACCTCTAGAAACCTTAACAGTTTATTTTCTTATAATAATTGGTATCTTAGATTAGCTCTCTGAAAAAGAAAAAAAAAATCCAAAACATTTTCTAAAATGAAAGACAAAGAAAAAAACCTGAAAATACCTACAATACCTGTTAAGGGTTTGGGATATATGGGGAAATGAAAAGGACTGGTTTGAGTGTATGGAAAACTGAACTAGAAAATATATTAAAGGCTGTACATAACATAATTAAAATATTATGAAGAAGAAACTATCTGGGCTAACTTTAGTAAATAACTGTAAGCATTTTATAGAGAAATGGATTCTATTCAAGTATATCAAAAGACGCTAACCTCATTAACCAAGTCAGCCCATTTACAAGTTGGCTAACCAGATCAATTGAAGTGTGAGCTAAAGCTTAACACAGGTCCTTAAAAGAAATGATTTTTTTTTAATCTACCACAATTGCATCAGTCAAAGTGCTTATTTCTTTTTAAAAATCCAATGATTCCTTTTTTTAAAGGAGGCAGTTGATTACAAGTTTTAAAATTAATTTATTTTTAACTCAAAGAAAATTTTATGTATAACATTGTTTTACTGTGGGTTTTCTCCTCAACTTACAAAAGGAATACTTGTTCATCATAATTATTTTGAAAGTTCAGGAAAAAAAATTTAAACTTGGGGAAAAATTATCTCACAATTCTACCACCAAATGGCAATCTCTACAAATGGTGAAATAAATCTTCCTCTAGTCCTTCCAAGTATTCCATTTAGGAGACTGAGACTATGTTTGTAAGCATGATTTTTATTATAACATTCATCCTAAACTCTATCATATCTCATTAAAACCTCTTTGCATGGTGCATACACCATGATTTATTTAATTATTCTCCTAATGTCAAAATATCACTTTGGGGGGCTGAGGCAGTAGGATCAATTGAGCCCAAGAGTTCTAGACTAGCCTGGGTAACACAGTGAGCCCCTGTCTCTACAAGAAAAAATAATTAGCTGGGTGTGGTAGTGTACACCTATAGACACAGCTCCTTGGGAGGTTGAGGTGGGAGGATTACCTGAGCCCAGGAAGTCAAGACTGCAGTGAGCTATGATCCTGCCACTGCACTCCAGCCTGGGCAATGGAGTGAGACCCTGTCTCAAAATAAAAATAATTTTAAAAAGAAATATCTTTGTGCATAAATATGTATCTGCATTTGGATTACTTCTATAGTATCTATTCTTAGAAGTAGAATTACTAAGGTATGAATACTGTGAAAGCTCTTGATACATGTTGCCAAATTGTTTTCCAGAAAGTTTATACTAATTTACACTTTCATTAGCATTATTTGAGTGCTTTTTCCCACTTTATCTATGCCAGAATTGAAATTTATTACTTTAAGTTTTCTAACCTCATAGAACAGAAATAAGATTTTTTTTTTCTTAGTGAAAAAGTGTTGAATCCACTTTTTGAAGTGACTGTTGAAAGTAACAATTTTGGCTGAGTGTTGTGGCTCACACCTGCACAGCAGTTTTGGGGGCTGAGTGGGGAGGATTGCTTGAGGCCAAGAGTTTGTGACCAGCTTGAGCATCAGAGCGATACTCTGTCTCTACCAAAATAATAATAATAATAATAAAGTGACAGTTTCATTTCCTCTGCTTATGATCTACTTGATCTTTTTATGCCTTTTGTTAATTTATCTTTTTGGGTTTTAGTACTTTTTAATTTTTGTTGATTTGATGAGTTCTTTTATTTTACATATTAGAGATAATAACTAGTAATACGTTACGAAGTGTTTAACAATCAACAATCAGTTCGTTTCTACAGGAAAAGAAAGCCTGGTTTGTAGTATTTGCCTATTTCTATGGTGTAAATACTCCTACCATGATTTCAAACAACCAGCAAGATGACACTGCTCACAAAGATGAGAAGAGGTGTATATAATCCACTTTCACAGACAGATGCAGGCTGCTTGCAGTACATCACTGAAACCCTTGGCAATGGCATATAAGTGTTTTTCCAGTTTGCTTTTTCTAGCCTTATTGTATTTACAATGTTTTCACAAGTTTTACACTAAGGTAAATATTCAAATATTTTGCTATGTAATTTCTCTCATTACTGTAGTCCCTGTTTATCCGTAGTTTCACTTTCTGTGATTTCAAAAGTTTCCAAAAATATTAAATGGAAGATCTCAGAAGCAAGTAATTCATAAGTTTGCAATTATATGCTGTTCTGAGTAGTGGGATGAAATCCTGCATATCCTGCTTCATCCCACCCACAGTGTGAATCATCCCTTTGTCCAGCACATTCACACTGTCAACACTCCCTGCCTGTTAGTCACTCAGTAGCCTGTTGGTTATCAGATCAACTGTCGAGATGAGATATCACAATGCTCATGTTCAGGTATCCCTTATTTTACTTAATAATGCCCCAAAGCACAAAAGTAGTGATGCTGGCTATTCCACTATAGCAAGGAGAAGCCGTAAAGTGCTCTCTCTAAGTGACAATGTTAAAGTTCTCAACGTAATAAGGAAAAAAAAATCATATGCTGAGCTTGCTAAAATGTATGGTAAACACAAATCTTCTATTCATGCAATTGTGAAAAAAGGAAAAAAAAATTCGTGCTAGTTTTGCTTTCTCACTTCAAACTTCAAGAGTTACGGCCAGTATGTGTGATATTACAGTACATTGTTATAATTGTTCTATTTTTAGATATTGTTAATCTCTTACTGATAAGTAACTTTATCATAGGTAGGTATGTAGAAAGAAACAATATACATAGGGTTCAGTACTATCTGAGGTTTTAGGCATCCACTGGGAGTCTTAGAACATATCTCCCTTGGTTAAGTGGGGCTGCTGTACTTCTAAGATTATTTTTTTCTAAAATCTATAATGATATACGAAATGAGGTAAGAATCTAAATTAATTATTTCCTTTTTAAAAATTTATTTATTTTACTTTAGGTGCATACTATATCTGGCATTTCTCCCCATGTTATCCCTCCCCACCCCCTATTGTCTCTCCCCTACCCCCCTCAACTGTTCCCTGTGTGTGATCCTCCTCTCCCTGAGTCCACGTGTTCTCATTGTTCAACACCCACCTATGAGTGAGAACATGTGGTGCTTGGCTTTCTGTTCTTGGGTCAGTTTGCTGAGAATGATGGTTTCCAGACTCATCCAAGTCCCTATAAAGGACACAAACTTATCATTTTTTATGGCTGCGTAGTATTCCATGGTATATGTACCACATTTTCTTTGTCCACTCTATCATTGATGGGCATTTGGGTTGGTTCCAGGTCTTTGCCATTGTACCCAGGGCTGCAATGAACATACATGTGCATGTGTCTTTATAGTAGAACGATTTATAGTTCTTTTGGTATA